ACTGGTGTAATTCTCACAAATGAGGATGGGAGCGCCATTGCATCCTGATGGAAGTGAAAAAGAAAGTTCCAATGATATGCAAAATCTAAATGGAAAAAGAAAGTTTTTGTAACAAAAAAGGTTCCGAAAATAAGCTTGAAAAAACAGACATTATTTTTGCACCAACCTAGTATATCCGTAGCATAGATGTATTTTTTTCAACATTTCGATAATGCTTCAGAACTTTGGCTGCATTTTCAGTACCATTATTCGCCACAATATATAATAGCTTTGTTGCAGATTACGTTTTTGGACGCCAAATTCACCTTTCTTTAGCTTATAAGTTGTTGTAACGACTGAAATCATCTCGTGTCCGCTGGTTGGATGCTGATGTCACATCGCTAGATTCTCGTTTTCATAAAATCTTTGAGGATTTTATGTGACATTGTCGGAAACACCACTGGAAACGCATTCATATTTACGTTATACGATTCTATAACGCCGTTTCTACGGTAATTTATTAGTTTTCAAAAGTGTTTTTCATTTACTCATGACATATCAGAACAGCAATACTAAGAATTTCAGAAGAAAATTATTATAATTGCAGTCGACCCGTCCCACAGCTTATCGAAACTAGTTGCCGCTTTTGGACACTAAGAAAACGATAGAATTCGTAAAAGCTAGCATCAGAAAGTGGGATCAATTTGCTTCCTTCTCTGCAGAATGTCAGCATTTTTTCTTTTCCCAGTGCTGTCACGTGAATTATTCTAAGATGTACACGACCACATGCTGTTGATAAAAATGGTCACAAAATGAGATTTCCGTGCCATGGCAAAAACTGTTAAAAATTTCTTTTCGTCTACGTAGATCTCGAAGAAAAGTAAACTAATCTAACTAGGCAGAAGTGACATCGCAGTGACGATTTGGAACGAAATGCATATCATTAGGTGTCGTGTTGAGCTAGAATTCAAATTTAGCTTCATCATCTGCTTCATGATTTTTTAGAAAGAAGCCAAAAGCGTTTGAATTCCAATCAATGCAGAAGCTTAGTGACAACATTTCAAGAATTAGCTGTTCGCACTTTTCTTGAATTTGGTTGATGTGCATATTTCTTGCAGTCATCATGCTTAATTCCTTATACGCTCCCAGCTGATTTCATTGCACATTACGCCTTAAAGCCCAACGACTTCACAATTTCAACAGCTCATAGCATTTTAGAGAGAATCGAAAACGGAGAAGGAAAGTAAATTTGGAACCAGCTTATCAAGACGCATGTAATGATATGCAATTCACTCCAATTCGCTATTGGATTTGGGATCCTTCCCATTTACAGGGCTTGTCAAAGCAGTGTCGGGTGCATCAGCTTTCCATTTCCGTACTGGACTCTGCGTCTCTGCCGCGAACATGCTATCCAATCACTTTTAATCGATTGAGACTCCGCCTTTCTCATGCTCGCCCTGGGAAAGTGATCAGAGAGCATGTTCGCGGAAGAGACGCAAAGTTCAGCACGGGAGTGGAGATGCTGATGTACCCGACACTGCAGTTGACTACCCCTGTAAGTTACTTATGCGCTCGCAATAAAATTTAGTGTGGGTAATCCGAGTGAACACGAAGTTTCAAATGTAATTTACGTTACAAACAACGTATGCACCATCGTTATCAAGTTTTGCTGAACAATAATCTGCAGGCTTAGCTGTAAAGTCCTAGCACATAAATGATGCGGCAGCATTATAAGTGACACTCTGATTTTCTTTTTTGAGATCATAGGCTATATGAGAACTTGTTGCTATCAAAGTCGTTCAAACGCAAAAATTCTACTTCAATTATTATTGCCTTCACTCTTTATTTTCGAATCCAACTACCTTCCTTTGATGCCGTACATTTTCTGCGCATCTGCGCGTAAGCTCTTGTCAAAACTTTGTCTATTTTTCACAAAGGCTCCAAGAGCGGGGGTTGATCAACTGGGCTGTCCATCGTTTCTCAATAGCAACAATGAAGTCAACCAATTTCGTCTCGCCTTGCTGTTTATATGCGATTAAAGCAGAATTCTGGCAGATCTAGAAGCTGGGTTTAACATCATAACGAATTCTTTACGTTGGGTAAATGTAGTGCTTTACTTTTATTCTAACCGATGCTTAAGGTACTATTAAGCAGCAATCATCGAAGCCTTTTTCTCTTAGATTTCAATGAACCACTTGAGCTGTCTCTCTAATACTGTGCAAGGAAACTTTTTCGGGCAATTTGTTATTAGTGCATCCATTTTAGCAGGCAGAGATTATTTTTATGCAAATTTTTTTTCATTTGCTTATGACATATCACAAGGCAGACCTAGGGATTAAAAGCAGAAAGTCAATTTGCTTTCTTCTTTACAAACTGCCATTTTTTTTGATTTGCCCAATGCTTGCACGTGGATGATCCTAAGGACGACGTTTAGGGTTATGTGTGCACAGCTAACTTTTGATTCAACTGGCTTGGCTTCGACAAGGCGGGGCTTTGTGACCGCTCGCGCCCGCGATGCACCTGCTCTCGCTCAGTACTCTCTGATCACTAGCTAACCTTAATTAGGTCACGGAGCCCCGCCTTAGCGAAGCCAAGCCAGCTGAATCAAATGATACATGCTTCAAATGAAAATAATCAAAAAATCAAACCTTCCCACCACAAAAGAATTCAAAAGTTTCTCTCCGTCTAGATCTTGAAGAAACGTAAATGAAGCTAACTAGAGCGATCGCGATGGCAATTTGGAACAAAATGCATATCATTAAAGGTCTTACTGAGCTGGAATTTAACCTAGCTTCATCGTTTACTGCTCAATTTTCTGGAAGAAGTCAAAAGCGTGAAGGTCCAAAAATAAAAATAATGCAAACGTTTAGTGACAACCTCTCAAGAACTAGCTATTCGAATGCATTTTTTTTGTTCTGATTGATGCGAGCATTCCTTGCAGTCATCCCACTGAGCTCCTTATACATTTACAGCTAATTTCATTGCATATTACGCTTTAGAGCCCAACTTCACACATTTGATCGCTCATAACTTTTTACAGAGAATTTACGCGGATAGAGAAAGTGAATTCGAAATCAGCTCATCATCTAATGATATGCAGTTCACTCCAGTGCGCTACTGAATTTGGGATCCTTCCTTCTATATTTGCTTAAATGGTAAAGACTACTGTAGGTAATTCGTAAAACTGAAGTTTTCAAATGCGATTTTCGCTACAAACAAGCGTTACTATCGTTATCAGTATAAAGAAGCCAATAAACAGTTTTGAAAGTTTATGGGAAACCAAAAAAACTGCAAAATTATTTTATTGAATGGAAGACTATTTTCTACAATTTGATTGTTTTCTGAACAAAGTCTACGATACATGTCCGTTACGACTTTTCCGTTCTACCAACCTTCTTGCATAATGAAGCGCATGCATTCCTTTTTTACTTATTCGTGATCCTATTGTGTATCCAAATCGGTAAATCAAAAAATTGTTCGTGGTCTTTGACAAGGACATGTAATCAAGCTATGCGACAGTGTTGTGGATTGGCGTTCTCGGAAGACCAATCATTCGAAATTGCAGAGAAAATTTTGAATGCCAAGGCTATACAGGGTGTGCCAAAATTACCTGCGCCAACTTACCACGAAAGGCTGCGAAATACAAGCTCAAACTTGTGTCATAGAATCATTAATTAATCTTTACACATGGAATTTAAGAATCCAAAAAATCAAACCAGCATTTTCAAGTAAAGCAAAAGTGAAATTTTTGAACCCTTTGTTTTGCTGTGTAACTGAATGAAATTGCTCTAATCTTTTCAAGAGGTTGTAGAGCACAATTTGAACCATCACATAAGTTCTACTTGCATTTGCACGATTCACTCCTTCATGGAGTAAGAAAATGTATTCGTGAAAATCTTGCGTACGAGCATACGTTTATAATCGATTTTTAGGTCCCAGACAATTTATGAGTGTTATGAGACATGTAGATAGTATGTAATTGAAACCGATTAGTTGAGATAGTTTTGAATTTGATTTAGATGACATTTTCTGATCCTAAGGCGCACTCAGGAAGGCAGAAATTGCACCAATCGGTATGTTGCCTCTCAACCATGTCTTTAAAAAATCAAAAACCCTCTTCGAATTGATTCTCAACTATCCATACTCATTGAATTAGAAGCGAAGGCTTGTTTTACTTTCTCGCACAATTACAAAGCAAGAGAAAAGGATATCAAATAGATGTCATATAGGTTCTGAAGTCATGCTTGCGCACAGAGTACACTTCAGCTGTCGAGCGAGATTGGGAATTTTTGGAGAGATAAAGCAGCCAAGTTCTGATTGGATTGTTGCATTACGATACTGATGCATGGTGAGAACAAATGCATATTTGATCTGTCCTCAAGCCCGTCTTCTAACCTTCTGGCAACCAAGGAAACGTGCGCCGGTAATTTTGGCGCAATCTGTTATGATAGGATACTTATTTTCTGCTCATCAATCGATATCTATATCATATCTAGAAGCCGAGTAAAAGCAAACTGCACTACATATTTTATAGCATATTTCTGATCGTTTGCGAGTGAGGGAAATCCATAAATGTACTCATATCCTTGATTACTCTTCATTAAACAATAGCACATCATTTATGGACTTTACATACGTATATGTCATTCAGTTCATGCTCTTGTGCATTCACATCGTATAAAATTGTTATAATTGTGGGCGAGGAAACCCCAAGCTGTTCGATGCGAAGGCAAGTGCAGCGAAATGTTATCTCAGCCTCACCGAAAACATTTTTCAAATTCACAAAAAAGAAGCAGGAGTGTATAATAGCAACCCTTTATTATGAAATGCAGACGAGCAAATATCACTGTCACAACACAACAAGCGAAACTACTATGGAGCTCATATCACTGCCTTCAAAGGCGACACTACTCTTATTTCTGCGAAATGTCAGCAGAAATTTGTCGCCAAACGTTGAGTATGCCTAGGTACTCAAGCGCTCACAAACATCTGAGGATTAGATTCCTCAGTATTTCTCTGATCTAGCAATCGGTCTTGCTCATCCCACTCCCAGTACTATTATCGGGTTGGAGCCAGCCCACAATGTAGAGGGTTTGGTTCTTGTCGGTCGAGGCAGCATAATTTCCATAGTGGTAGGCGGTCCCAATGATTCTCTCGCGTATGGGCCAGGACCCACAGCAGATTCCCTCACAAGCACAGCGGTGAGTAAACGCATACGCATGTAGAAAGGTGTATCCGGTCACGTTGTAGACGTCACCAAAGTAGAGTCTGTGTTGACCTGAGGAAGTACAAAATTCACAATTATTTTGCAACTACCGTAGGGTTTCTGCAATATTCAATAAAAATAATTCATGTCAGAGAACTTGCGAGCTAGCATCGCAGTCTGTTGTGATATCGTTAGAATTCTAAGATGAAATCTTGTAAGCAGATTTTCTGCTTTCTTTCGCTTTCTAGAATGCCACCACTGTCACGGTTATAAAAATGTAGTTTTAGAAAGGTGTTTGGAATCCTACATAATATCAAGTGATTTTCAATACTTAACACTTACTCGCTCTTTGAAACACTGGAACTGAAACGCATTCTGGATTGGGTTCCATCGCGAACACATATCTGAATAGCTCTAGCTTGAATTAATCTTGTTACATGCTCTGTTTGTCTCATTTGATTTGTAACTATGGGACAAAAAAAAATGTTTTTGGTGTACAGTTACAGAGCAATGAGCTTTTTAAAACACTTGTTGTAGTACTCGAATTCCTTTTGCAAGTTGGATGAAACGAGACATTCAATGTTGATCATGTTTCAGAATTTGGAAACTGCGGAATCACATCCAACATCGGCATCAATGATAGCATTTGATAGCCAAAAAAGAATTTTACCTGGAACTGAGAATATCACGGTTAGGTAATTTTGAGATATCATTTAGGTAGAACCAGGAACCGTTCAGTGAAACCCTGTCTATGATGGTCAGCGATGCAGTTGTGTTCATGGCAAGCAGCTGCGCCTTTCTAGACTCGCTCTGTGCCACGGTTGGCACCGGGAGTTGTTGAAATTCCACATTTGGAGCAAGTGGTAAAGGACGCTCGCATGTTGGTAATTCTAGTTGCCGATCAAGCTCATATACATTGCCGCGTCCAACCTGGTTGACTTCACCATTTTCAAAAATGGTGCACATATTCTAGAATAAGCCAAAGTTTTATGCAAGGGAAAGGGGCTGATTAGAGGCAGGCTGTAAAAACTAGAATCAAACATTCTCACCTCGTTGTATTGGACAAAAGTGCAGTCAGACTCTTCGAAGCATGCGCGAAGACATATCTCTTCGCTTTCTTTCGGCAGCTCGTACTTGATCGTTGCAAGGAAATTATCTTGAAGTTTCGTGAACGTATTCGGATTTGCACCATAGATCTGTAAGGTAGTTTCCAACTTTGTCTCCAAGAATTGTGAAGACATGTAGTTTAGATCACGGTCGAACCAAATTATCTCCAGCTTTACTTTCGAAGGTCTTTTTTCTAATGCATTGAGGACAACGCTCGTTGCTGGAATTATCTATGTAATAACGCTTTTTCATACATCTTGGTTTGCTGATGTGATATACTTCAAAAATTTTTTAACATAAAGATAAGCCTGCTTGTTTTATTGTAAAATTCTAAACAGTACTCCCGTTTATACATAACTAAAGGTGGAGCAATCTACTTAATGTCAAAAGTTCTGCTTCTTATCAAAAGAAGTTAATTGAACTACTCGAACAGTGGACCATTCTGCACAACATCGCCATTCATGAGTATTTGTCTTCTGAACAAGACTTTCAAATAAGACTTTTGATCTCTGCTTAATATCATAGATATAACATTCGTTCTGGAAAATTGTTCACGTGTGGTTATATAAACAACAAGATTATTTGACTTTCTTATTTGTAAAATGACAGAAATTTCAAAAGTATAGCTTTGCCGTAACAATTTCGATACCGTACGCATCACACCGTTTTTTTGCTCGGAAAGCCTTTTATCTGATCAGGCAACCACAAGATGCTTATGACAAGGTACCTGCATCATTAGCGTTGCAATGAAGATCACAGTGTTTTTTGGCGACATGGTTGGGAGCACGAACCCTAGTTTCCCTGAAGCATTGAGAAATTACAGATTTTCAGATAACTAGCAAAGTTTTTCGCAAGAGTTACTCTTACTCTTACTGTGATACAACAATTCGCTTCGCTATAAAAGTTTATGACAATCAAATGGCTTAAAAGGATTAACAACTGTGGAAGCTAGTCAACTTTCACTTAGGTATTGGCCCAAGTCATCTAGCTTTACGAATATTGCTTGAATGAAAACCCCACCTCCTTGTAGGTCTTATATATGAGCCGTTGCTAAGGAGGATTTTAGGGGCGGACTCTTTGGCATTGAGAGGTCCGCCCCTCTTTGTATCCACAGAATTGACCAATCACAAGCGCGCAGCTACAGTACACAAACACGCCCAAGATTGCACAGGGGCTGCTGGAGCAAAATGTAAAAAGTAGAAACCCCGATTTTGGATTGTTAAGGTTAGAAGCTAATTGGAACAAGTTTCCACACTCTGAATTTCTACACCCAACAAACTAAGTTGTCCCGAAAGTTTTGTCGGTTTTTTGTGAACGAATGTAAAACCACGCAGAATAAAGGCTTATACAAGTTTCAAAATCCGTTCTCGATGCAGCCTTTCCTTCTCTTTCTTATTTTTACATGTTTGAACCAAAATTCTTTGCGCTTTTTTGATAATTGCCAAAACTCTTCACCCGTCAATTCTGTCTGCTCAAAGTTTGGCTAATATCTGAAAATTCATTCTAAAGTTTTGGAAAGGATGAGTCTGGTAAGATTCTCGGATTATACGGTAATAATTTTAGATTTTTCTGATTCTGTTTTTAGCTTCAAACATTTTTCTTGGAGCTGATTTTTAGTACGTCATGAAGCACGCAACTGCAGCAAAAACATATAGGCTCCCAAAGTTTCTGCAAGTTGAAACTTGATTGTGACCAAACATTATTCATACATAATCAAGTCAGTCTGATTTGCCTTGAAAATCAGCTAAAGTGATCAAAATGTCGCGGCTTTTCCCAAGAAACCATTATTACTGACTTGGTAAACGTGACTTGTGTGCTCTAAATTGGGTGTAATATAGTCAAATGTATTCTGTACATGACAGTTATCAGTGCTGTTTGAAATTATCAGTATAATACCTTTTAGAATTCCTGGAAATTTTGGCGTTGCTGTTGAGCTGCTCAAAGATCCATGGTGATAACATCGTAAAGACAGCATAGATTGGAAAGCAAACATGGTAGAAGGATGAAGCATTGATTTGAACTGTATTTATCGTCTATTCGTTGACCGCAGGGACTGGACATCACTGCGAAGCACGCGCCGTGAATAATAGAACTTGCCCCAGTACAAATCCGCCATTGTACAAATCGTGCTCTCGCAATATTTTAGCCGCGCCGTGCTTGGTCTGCAGCGTTTTAGCAGTCCGTGCGGTCAATGAATACGATAAGCAGTTCGTTGATTGGTATTGTGATTGATGAAAAAACCGACAACACTTTCGAAACAATTTAACAGGAGATGGAAGTCTTCAGCAAACTGATTTATATTGTGAAAAGAAGATTGAGGTGAAAGTTTTGAAATCTGGAATTATCTAGGAAATTTTCATGAAAATATCGTGCATTATACTGGTAAGTATAATGCACGATATAATGCTGGTAAGTTGAGCTGCCAAAATTCACAATAAGCTCACACAAAAAGCATGAATTAACATTATAGCTTAATAAAGTTCGTCAAAAGGATTCCTCAAATGATATGCGAATAAGTATGCTGACTACGTATCTTAGCTACAGGCCCGAGGGAAGTTGGTTTGCCAACTAGTTTATCATAAATTCAGCACTACAACATCTGTTCTGAAGACCGACGAGGAAGATACGGAGTATTTAACAAATGATAATACATACAATAAGACTTGCTAAAAGATGTGATAGAATTGTCAGTGATAATAACCTGATTTTCAGAGAGTTTAAGACGACCTTATGTCAAAACGCTGGTCTTTTACAGCTGCGCAAAACGTAATGCATTTTCATTGTTTCGCTTGCCAAAGGAAGAGGCCATGGTTTAAAATCTGGTCAAAAGCTGTAACTTCCTGTATTTAAGCCTCCTTGCAACTACATTTAGTGTTTTGATAAGATTTGCAGCAATGCGCCACAGTGCGCCGGAGTGTGGCAGAGTGCGCCACACTCCGCCGTAGTGCGCCGGAATGATCGTCAATTTTGCCATATCTCGCTTTAGAATGGACGAATTCTGAATCCGAGGACATCGTTCGATTCAGCTCGGCGAGACGCATCATTTTATATATGAAGCTGAACGTCTGTATGTCTGTTTGTCTGTACGTATGCTCCGAATATAAAATTCCATTTCTGAACCGATCCGGACCAAACTTGGCACACATACACTTCGGACCCCGGCGGTTGTCATAGGCTATTTTTCGTCACCGATCGATATCGATTTTATCGATTTTTTTGCAGAGTTTACCTAAGGGGGTTGGGAGTTGGCACAGGGGGGTAATCGAGCATGGGAATTCCGAATACAATATTAGTTTTCAGGATTATCGATTACTTTTATCGATTTTATCGTTTTTTTTGCAGAGTTTACCTAAGGGGGTTGGGAGTTGGCACAGGGGGGTAATCGAGCATGGGAATTCCGAATACAATATTAGTTTTCAGGATTATTGATTACTTTTATCGATTTTATCGATTTTTTTGCAAAGTTTGAGCTACGGGGCTGGGAGTTGGCACAGGGGGGGTAATCGAGCATGGGGATTCCGAATACAATATTGGTTTTCAGGATTATCGACTATTATTTTGGTTGAATTCAGTGTGCTGATAATAGTAATACCATTGATCTGTCGCTGATGACACATAGACAGTATACTATAGGAGTATGGTAGAGAGCTACTCCGATCGAATTTGTTCTAAGATCTGCTCAAGATCACAATACCGCCCACAGAATGTCAAAATTTCCGTGAACTTCGCGGAATTCCGGGATTTCCGCCAAAGTGCGCGATAATCCGTTAAGTTCGCGACATTTCAGGGTCCGCGAAACCATGCGAATCACGCAGAGTACTATACTTGGGTAATTCGAAAATTTTTCATCGAATGAATGAATATCGAATAAATTCGAAAATGAAAAATTTCGAATAAACGAATATCGAATAAATTCGAAAATAAAAAAAAACCCGAATGAATGAATTTCGAATAAATTCGGAAATGAAAAAAACTCGAATGAATGAATTTCGAATAAATTCGGACAAATTTTGTTTATAATCAGCACCCTCACTTATCCCCCTGTACCAACTCCCAGCCCCGCAGCTTCCTTCAAATCGATAAAATTAGTCGGTTGGCAACTAGTCTCAAGCTTTTCGTATGTTTTTGTGTAACTAGTATGTGTGATGATCTGGCGATTGTTTTGCCTTAGAAGACTGACTGATCGCTGTTAATGTCACTTGCTTTTTAGCGAGAAGCTACGCGTAGTTGTTCTCAATCGCGCATGCTGTTTTTGTCCGTGTCCAGAATCCTTCTCAGATTTTTCCATATTCTCTTCTTTCGTCTACATAGTTTCACCGATCCCGAGTATCTCTATATAGCCTTTTCACTCTGCTGCCTTTTTGTTGTATCCACTGTAACTATACACACTTTTCCGCATATAGAGGCGTGGCTTGGCTACGGTCATACAGATGAAATGATATTGCCTCTACAAGCCAACGCTAAGCAGCTATCCTGATAACGAAGCATATTCTCTTTCTTATGTTTATCCAGACTCTTTGCTTTGTAATGCTTTTTTCTAATTAAATCAATGAAGTTCACTTTGATCTACTTCGACGTTCAGAAAGATTCGAGACTGAATTAGAGATTAGTTTCTTAGAAGGCCTGTTCAGAGGCATGTCAGATTCATAGCAAAATTAAGGTTAGTAGCCAGCTGTCTGGATTCTTTCAAATGAACAAATGGGATTTCATGGGAAATCAGTACAAGCTGTTTTCGAGAATAGATTAAAAATTAGTACAAAAAATAATCATCAGCGATTTCCACTGATCTATAGGTATTCAGTAGTAACATGCAGTGCATCTTCGTGATCCTTGCGCGTTATGCATCGCAGGGTAACCGCATTTGTGCACCTTGATCCTGCCGCTTTGTTCGACAGCAGACCTCACTTGTCAGGCGACCACTAAAATTCAAGGGCAGTTTAGCAGAGTAGCAGCAAATGAAATTGGCTGGAGCTGAAATTCAAAAATGAGGCTGGCACACGCTATACATCTGTGGTGAGCTGGCGTTACATCTGAAGACATCTGTAACTCATTGATCGAAAAAGCATCAATTGAAATCCACATTTATGTTTTTTGATGTCGCAAGCGGAAGTCGGAAGAATGCGACCTTCCATACAGTTCAAAGGTCGTTACGGTTGCAAAAAAAGATGCATTACCTGGTCTTGTAAAAAAATACGAAAACGAAGCGAGCTTGGTACTCACAGTTGGCTCTGCAACAAACTCGAATAATTTGGATACGGAGTTCATTCGAATACGATTTCGAATAAACATTCGAATAAAACATTCGAATAAAATCTATTCGAAAACCCGTTTTTCGATTATTCGAGTTTTCGAATATTATTCGAAATCCTGTTTTTTAATTATTCGAAATTCGAATTTTATTCGAAACCCCGTCTAATATCTCCTGCGTGACGATGGCGGTTGCCCAAATAGGTTGAAGCGTGTCGCGCACGCGGCGCGCGGGCAATTGTCAGCCTGGGAGCGCGCGCAGGCTCGGTCAGCGGTCATCCACGGAGCGCGCGCCGCACAGCAGCTAGCCGGCCGCGTTATTGGTGCTAATTTCTGCTGTTATTGTGGACTGCGATGACTCTACTCGTCCAGTGAGGTGAGTTTTCACTTCAGTTTTTCTTATTATGTGGAATTTTGATGCTAGATTTGTGTGCTGACTGTTTTTCATTGCTTTGTGTGCTGCATGCTTGCGCTATGTGTCTGCATTCCGTTCTTTTGTGCTCTCCTTGTTCTTAATTGCTCTCCTTG